GTATGTATGTATGTATGTATGTATGTATGTATGTATGTATGTATGTATGTATGTATGTATGTATGTATGTATGTGTATGTGTGTATGTGTGTATGTATGTATGTATGTATGTATGTATGTATGTATGTATGTATGTATGTATGTATGTATGTATGTATGTATGTATGTACGTAATGTTAATGAAGATCCTTGTATATTAAGAAATCAAATCAAATCAAATATCTAAATTACTGCTCATGTGACTTGGTAAATTGTTCATGAATGAATTTGTAATGTATGATCAGAGTGAATAACATGCTAGTCTAATATCAACTAATATCAGATTTATTTAATCTTTTGTAAGTTTGAAATCTAATACCACCAATTTTATTTAATACAGAATGTGGATTCTGGTTTTCATTTATAAAATTTGTGTATCCAAATTGAAGTAAACTGCACATCTTCAGTATAATTTCATTTCTTACAGGGTTACCCAATGACACTTTTTGTAATCAGAATATGACAGATAGGAACAAAAAAAAAACAGTACATGTGCTTCAGAGATATAGTAATGAAACCAAAAGTTAAATTGCTGACAGTATGCAGAAGTATATGGCTTTATGGTCATACTAATTATCTCTAAAACTAATTTCATTTTGATTTTAATAACTCAAGACATATATGTGCCAGATTTTTCAACATGAAACTGCATCGAGACTAAGTATTGCTTGATAACAGACTCAAGTTTGCAAGATGGTAGAAAAAATACTAGGCACAAGAAAATTTTAACGACTGTGGACATAAAACGCACAAGATAACCCCTACACATTACATTTAATAAAGGCAAGGCAAAACCTACATAACTTTACTTACTTATAGCTTGATTATATGTGTTATTGTAAACATTTACACAGGAAGGGATACACTCCATCCACTCCAGACCTTTTTGTTTAGCCATCTCACTAAATTCATCAAATTTAAGCCTAGTTTTGATTGTGCGGTGTGAACGTTCAACCTGTTAACATAATGATTCAAATAAAGTATTCAAGATTTGTCTTTCTGTTTAAAAAAAAATGATACATGCCTTTTGTCATAAGACATCATCACTACATACATGTACATGTATACAATAGGATAGAGGTATTACTAGTAGTGGGAAATAAGTATTTTCGATGGCGCATTCTTGTTTATAATGAACAACATGATTACCATTTTTGTTCTATTAAAAACATGTCAACAGTAAAAGCACATACAAACCAGCAATCACATTTACTGTATACTAGTTTATAGTACTTGATTACTAAAATGATTTTAAATCTGCTGTAACCCAATATGAATGATCATAACAAGTTTGAATTAAATCTCAATTCCCCCCCCCCAAGAACAATTCCAGACATGTTCACAGGCAGAAGTTTCAGGATTTTACACAAGATGATCATGTAAAATAATTTTTTTTAATTTTTCACAACAGTGGATAAGATGTCATACTTTACCCACAATCCTTTGCTGAAGAATCGAGAAAGTGGTTAAAAAAAAATTTAAACTCTAGTACATGCAGAACACATCTCACTGAAGCACTGATACTGGAAGGAGTTTCCCTAGCCTCACCCCACCCCCAATCTGAGCATAACAGTCCAGCCCCCTCCCCCAATGTAATTGTGAAGAGGGGCATATACCGGTACATTTAAAAGAGACAATCGGCAAGAACGCAACCAATCACATGGTCATTGTTCAGTTAGTGTAATAAGAAAACAAAGATGTCAACAACAACAACAACAATCTGACATTTCCCCACAAATACTTTTCAGAAATTGGACTGCAAATTACATACACAATATTTATCTGAAACTAATGTGAAAAATGAGACATTACCTTTCCTTGAGATTGGGGATGATGACTGCGACTTTTCACCATTCTGATGTTGTACGAACTGGCTACTAATTCTACAATACCCTTAAATTCAGTTCCTTGATCTGATTGGAGTATCTTTGGTGGTCCAAATTGATCATACAGCGCACGTAACTTTTCTGTCACTAAAACAGCCTCCTTACTTTGTAATCCATAAAGAAATAAGAACCTTGAAAAAACATCTTCTACAGTCAAAATATATCTGTAAATTACACCATTTAAATTACATGGCTTTGATGTCATGTCAATCAAGTCAACTTGATTGATTTCCATTACCTTATGGGCAACAACAGGGTGTAATGGGGCTTTAGCATCAAATTTAGGTGCCTCTTTTCCATGAACAGCAGACGAATTCAAAATTCTTTGAATAATATGCACACCAATGCCTGTGAAGAAATGTTTCAAACGATAACATATCGCTCTCGCTCCCGCACCTTTCATCTCCTTGTAATAATGCATTACAACTTCATGAAGATGTTCCCTCGGAACAACTATTCTGCCATTCTCAGTGATGCATTTGGTTTTCAGTCCTGTAGGAGGATATAATGCATCTTCTAGTTTGTACGTTGATTTTGATAAATACAATCTGTAATATACAGATCTTCGTTTCCGTCCAACATCTTTTGGAATATCTTTCATTGTTTTTTCTTTAGATAATACAATTTTCATCAGATCATACTCTTCCTGGGAAGGTAGTTTCATAGCTCCACCCCGAGGCATTGCTGCGAAAGCTTGAATAAAACAAACAGCTGTATTAGAATTTGAGAGATTGTTATATATATCAAACTGCAAAATTAAAAGAAATCAAAGAAAGCTTAAAGAAAACAAGCAGCCTATCGGCTGAGATAGCTCCGCTGTTAGAAATGCACATTTCAATTAAAGAACTGAAGACATCATCAGAAAATGAACAATATGTATAGTATCAAAGCAATCGGACTTACAGTTTTTAACAAGAAGTCGAAAATATCACTTTCTACCAAAAATGACCAAAATATTCACCAAAATAAGAGAATTGAAGATATCATCACGAAATGAACAAATCTGAGAAAGGTCTACATGTATCTATATATGTAATATCAAAGCAATTGAACTTTTGGTTTTTAACAAGAAGTCTTAAATATCACTTTTTACCAAAT